CTGTTATTCTTCTATCTGATACAGTAGTTGGCTGTGCTCTTGTATGTGCCTCTACTTGTGCTTGTGCAAGCGAGCCATTTTTTGCCGTTGGTTTTTTCCTAAAAACAGTTGCTGCCGTAAACTTTTTTGTTGCTACAACAATAGTTTTAACCAGCAAATTTTCCATTGTCGTCGTAGCATACTTTGTTGTCCTCCCCTTGGTAGTTATTAGAGACTTTTCGGTAGTTTTGAAGTCTGGAAAACATGTGCACAGTTAAGATACGCAATTTTTATTATKCAATTCATTTTGGCGCGCACTTTGATTGAATAATGGCAACAAGGGTAGCCCTTACGCAGACGTTCTTAGTGTCTGTCACGCAACGTTTCCCTCCCCACGAAACGTTGCGTGACAGACACTAAGACCGTCTAAGTAGGGGGCTACAACAAGGGTGGCATAGGGATAAATAATTTGCTTTTCACCACTGTGAGTCCCACGGCTCGGGTCATGGGTTAAATTCCTATGGACGACACATGTGAAGAGTATTTTTGAGCACACGCCGACTGCTTTCTCTCGTGTCAAGAAATTTGAAAATCACTTCATATCGTGCAAAAAGAACTTGTGCGCGTGCGCAAAGACAACACGAAAAAAGCCATGCTTACCGCAGAATTCTTCGTCGCTTTTATCGCCGCAGTCATCAGTATGATCACAGTGCCAGGTCGAAGGTATGCACTTGTTGTTCTTACACGTAAAAAATTCAGGAGAACAAGTTGGTGCCGCTAAAGATGAAACAAAATAATCAACYATTAGAATCCTTTTTGGCATCGCTAAAAACAGCTCCGCCATGTTGCGTGTCCAGGTTTGGCGGCTAAGATAAATTACTATTCAGGGTGGTGGTGAGTTGTWAGGCAAAGTATAAGTCATCGCTGGAGGCTTAAACCAGCCGTGGTTGTTTCAGGGGTCGATAAAATTGATGTTTAAAAACCCTACCCTGGAAAATAAAGAAATGGACAAAAACTTGAGGCTGGAGGAAGAGGGATGGTACAAAATGAAAGACGTCGCTCTGGAGAGAGCTATGGCGGATTTAGGGGGAGTTCATTGGGTGCAAATGAATCCCCCTACCGGCTGGTACCTTGGATTTTTTATATATTTTTAAATAAATAAATAAAAGTATGGTAAGTCCGCTTTTTTGATGGATAGGTTATCCTTATCAGGAGCGCCCCTAGGCCAGTGATGTGCCTCATGGGAAAAATGATGATGCAAGAGAACGTTATTGTTGTAACGAGATTTGCAAAAGTTAACACCCCCCCCCCCCCTCTTAAAGTCCTGTATCCGCCACTGGAGAGTGCGTACATACGCGTATTARGAGATGTCGCTGCATGAGGAGAAGGATGATACAAAGTCTATACAAAGAATCGTCTCGGGTGTTGGGGAAGGTGGTCTCGAAGTAACCCTAGCTGAGGAAGAGGGAGTGCACGAAGTAAAAATTGTCGTTGAAGGAAAGGTACTTGGAAAGGAAAGGAACTTGGAATAGCCCTTATCATAGTTGARCACGCCACCCCAACAAACCRGCGGTTTCGYGATGAACGTAGCATCAAAACGAGACTATCGGGTCGAGTTTCGGATAATTTGCTAAGAAATTTACTACAAATCTTCGAGAGATCACTACATTTTGATAGATATCTTTGATATACAAAGAMTTTTGTAGTCTTCCTAACTATGGTCAAACACTATATATCTTTTGGATGTACGAACAGAGTTTTGAAGGCAGAAGGCAAGGAATTCGATCGGCATTTGCCATCGAGCAAAGTTCGTAATTTGCCGCAGAAAAGCCACTGAGAAAGAACACTCCAAGTAACACAATGTCTTACATTTGTAGCAATAATTTCAAAGCTAAATGCTTTTTAAGCCACATGGAGGATAGGGAGATTTGTTAGAAGCCAGTATCTATGCCACAAAGTTCGCTGAGATAGAAACGAGTGACCGTWCGTACGGCATAATAAACGTAAACATATTGTAATATACATCCAAAAGCTATATAGTGTTTGACCATAGTTAGAAAGACTACAAAATACTTTGTATATCAAAGATATCTATCAAAATGTAGTGATCTCTCGAAGATTCGTAGTAAATTTCTTAGCAAATTATCCGAAGCTCGACCTGATAGTCTCGTTTAGATGCTACGTTCATCACGATACCGCTGGTTTGTTGGGGTGGCGTGCTCAACTACGATAAGAACTATTACCACGGTAGAGGGAGATGAGTACTTGGAATTACCGCGGTAGAGGGAGATGGGCACAAAGAATCACTGCGCTTATGGGAGGGGGGTAAGGACAATCAAGAACTAGGTAGGAGGGGGGGGGGTAAGGACAATCAAGAACTAGGTAGGGAGGGGGATAAGGACAATCAAGAACTAGGTAGGGAGGGGGGTAAGGAAAATCAAGAACTAGGTAGGGAGCGGGGTAAGGAAAATCAAGAACTAGGGAGGGAGGGGGGTAAGAAAAATCAAGAATTAGGGAGGGAGGGGGGGTAAGGACAATCAAGAACTAGGTAGCGAGGCTGGAAAATAATAATCTTCATACCCAAACTTACAGCAGCCTACGAAATATTCGTCGCTTCCATCATCRCAGTCAGGATCTCCATCACAAACATATGACTTCGGGATACACTTATTGCTGTTTTCACACTGAAACTTTCCTGCTGTACACGAGCTGTAGGCTGGAAAAGTAATGATAAGAACATTAATCACTATGTCATAGCTTATATAGTATGATTGGACGAAAACTGTGCTGTTATACGCGCATTTGATCATATTATACATGCTAATTTGCGCGTTAAAAATAATAAAATTATTATTATTATTAAATGAAATGAGCACGTTGATGACGTCATTTGCTCGTGCGCAACCAAATTTGCAAAGAACTGAATATGTATGAAAATAATAATATTAATGATAATAAAAATAGTAATGATAATAATATTTTATATTGAAAAAACGTTTTTATAAACATGATTTCCTAAAAGGACCAAAAAAAAAAAATTGTTCATAAATCATTCGTCATCTCCTCCAGGCCGTACTACGAAACAGAACATGGAAATAACTATTTTATATATTCCTTAAATAAAGTAATCTCAAAAATATTCCTAGAAAATACAAACGGTTTGTAAATATGTTTGCSATAATAGGAAGCAGTTCTTACCATAAATTTTTGAGAATGTTGTGAAAATTTTGAGTTATTTCAAGATATTCAACGTCTACAACAATCTTTAGTTTCCCATCCATAGCTGGTTGATATGTTAACGTTTACMTACTCATCTCTTCCGCCAAATGCTTCTTCCAATTGCACAAAATATTTCGCTCTCACACACATATTTTGAATCGTTTGTCGATATCTTCTTCCATTCCTTAGAAAATTTAACTACTTGAAGCCATCAAGCAGACGACTTGAAATGTTTGAAGCCAGTACCGAACGATAATCAAATTTAGATTATTCAGATTGTGCATAATTAATCTTTATTATAGTGTTATTCCCCTGAGTATTATTTCTTTCTTTGAACGTAACGCTCGAGAAGATACGATATTTTAATATGGATAAACTCAAAAGACAAAATTTATYAAGCAAATTGCTTCGTGCAACAAATTATACCGTCTGCGTTGTTACAACRACAAAAAGCCCTTTMAAYGTTACGGCATGTCGTATCGTGTATGTGTAGTAAGTCAATACCGTAACCGTACTAAATTCTTAAGGAAAGCCAATTTATTGTCAAATAGCGTTTTCCAAAGACGACTTCATCATTGTGTAGCATGAGATTGAAATGCGGATAAGCCAAGCTTAGTGCACATGCTAACATACTGCAACAATATTTCGTAGTACTTTTTGTTTCCAATTCATGAAAGAAATATGGTTTTTCGACTATTTTTTCTTTTCCGTGAAATCGAAGCCTTGATTTGCAATGCTTGTCGGCATTTCGATCCCACAAGGCTTTGCGATATCTATTTTTAGTAACCATGAAAAATGTTATTCAACAGCATGTCGTACAGTGACAGGCGCGCGCTTTTTTTTTGTCTTCCTAAAAACTCAATAATAACCATTGATAAAAACCATTTGAAAGACATCTTACCGCAGTCGGCTTCATCGTCTCCTTCCTTACAATCCTTGGTCCCATCACACACCCATAATTGTTTWATACATCCTCCCTCTTTACATCTGTATTCGTCGGGTTTACATGTCGTGGCCGCTGCAAAGGCAACAAAAACTCAGACTCAAAAGAAAATAAAAGTTGTTAGAAAAGATGATTATTATCAATATTACATACTCGATTCTGATTGGCTGCTGTGTCATTCTTAACCAATAATACAGCAGAAATAATAAATTTGCACTACAGTGTTAATGTATATTATTAATATTGTTTCTCGTCCATTTTGGAATTAATTTTCAAATTTGTATTTAATTTTCGCCTGAACTGGCTCACACTAATTTGAAGCTTTTTGAAAAACCCTCTTGTGCAAATTAATTGCAAATTGCACTCCAAGCCATTTATTTTGGGGGGGGAGGGGTCAAATGTATAATCCCCTCGATACAAATACTTACAACAGTCTTCTTCGTCTGCTTCATCCTGACAATCAGCGTCACCATCGCATACCCACGTGGACCTGATGCACAAACCGTTAGGGCACTGGTACTCATCCGGGGCACATGTTAGAGTTACTTTTTATAACAGAGAAAGAAAGCAAAACTAAACTAAATAGAGAATATTGGATGAAAACAAAGAGGTTATTAGAGTACTTTGGTATTTAAGGATGACGTAGCGGTACTACACTCGTTCTCGTACCCAGACCCTTCTCACCAAAACATCGAAGGCTCTGGTAACACACAAACCGGAAGACCCAGATTCTAGGTCGTCAGATATGCGCATGCTCCACTTATTCATACTTCCGGTATAAATTCAAACCGTTTTTTTCTTCAAAAACGAGGTAGCTAAATTAAAGTTCCCTTATTCTATTTTATATTGATCGATGACGTAATACTTACGACAGTTTTTCTCGTCACTTCCATCTCCACAGTCATTCTCATAATCACACACCCAAGTCATCGGGATACAGTTGGAGTTTGCACATCTGAACTTGTTGGGTTYGCATTCGAACTCTTGAGCTGCAAGTAACAGAATAGCATAAGCCCAGTAAAGAAAAGAGGGAAAGACGACGCGTTAGCCGCGAACGCCACCCATGCTACCCATATAAACTTTGGAAAGAAAAAACATCTACTATGGGTTTTACCAAGGCAACGAATAGCGAATTTGCGGAAGTTCTCTAGCACTCCGCACATATAAATCAGGAAAAAAATGGCCGCTTGATTCCAAGTCACACACATTTCAAAAGAAACAAATCGCGGTGCATCATGGTATTGTTTAAGTGGGTTTGAATAACTCTCTTACCCGACGAAGATGACCACAACAAAATTCCAACGACCATGAACATCGTACTCTTGAACCCTGGAGCCATATTGAGTCACTTCTGCAAAGTTAACATAATATAAAGGTAAAGGTAAATGTAATTTAGTTTACTTCAACGCGCACGGGGGGGGGGGGCAGGAGGGGGGAAATTGCTCGACACTCTCGAGACAGGTAAAAAAGTAAAAAAGTAAAGTCGTTTAACGGATTCACTCCTACTACACTAAACACCCTCGATTAAAATCTAGGTTAAAACTGTAGTACTCTATGACACCACATGCGCAGTAGAGGTCACAAAATCCAGGCTTCCTATTGCTTGAAATTAGTTCCTTTTGTTCTCGATTTTTTTGATGAAAAAAACGATTTCACTTTTTTATTTGTTCTTATCATCGTTGTTATCGGAAATATTGTCTGGGTAAATGTTGTGATAATCGTATTCACCATTTTCCACACATCGGTTCACTGGTCAAACACAAAGCGCTCAAGCGAGGCGTCAAGGTTCTTTCAAAGGATTATTCAAATTTGAACCTTGCAACCCCGACTGAATGCTTTGTGTTTGACCAGTGAACCGATGTATGGAAAATGGTGAATATGGGGACCGAAATTCGAAGTATTAAATTGAAATATGCGACGCCATTTCAATCGGTTTTAATACTTCCGGTCAGCGGCTAGACCATTTGACTTATGACCTCGCTGTCTCGACATGTTAGTAATCACTCTTAAGCTGTCTCTAAATTAATACCAAAAATAGGGCATATTTCTTCCTATAATTAAATCAATTCAACTTTAAAACATTCTTAAATGATTCACATTCGAAAAGCTGTCCTTCATAAAACGTCAAATGCATTTTGGTGAAACAAAAATATCCTCGAGGCTGGCGGTGTGTAGTTTGTTTACTATCGAGCATKAAGTGTAATTCTCACTTCTCGAAGTACAGAGCATACCATCACATGAAGATTGACCTTGTAGTTCACTAGATGAAAATACAACCTTGCTACAACTCTCTCTGTCACATACGATTAAAAAATGATTGCTTTATCTACTTTTTATGTCGTTAATTCACAATCTTGGATTATTCCTATGAGTGGTATTTTATAAGTTAGAATTTATTCGCTTTTATTGAGAATTCCTTAATATCGTGCAGTGAAACAATACCTAAGATTCAAGACAAATAAGAAGCTTAAAGGCTAGAGCAACAGTTTGGAATTAAACATACCTGTTAATCTAAATCCAGTAGTTGAAAACCAACTTCGGAAAATTCCCCTTAMGAGTGCACAAAAGCAAGGCTAGCTTGTCCCAGCTATGGTCTTTTCTTTTCTTCTAGTTGTATTATCCTCAGTAATAAAAAAAAGCCGACAGCATTCGATTCTGTGGCCCGTACGGTAAAGTATCAATCAGCTACTTGCTACAGATGAGAACTATCCGTCATTCAAGGTCAAGACTTCATGTGTCTAGCAGAAGTGATAACCCGAGCGAAGATTCGCGCCAAGCCGAAATGAGAGGAGCGATTGTCGTCTAGATGTTGGGTCATAGAGATATTATATTATCCTCTTGATGTGGAACATTACCTCGATTATCGCCTGGTTTCACTAGCAAGCTGCACACGCACACACCTTGATAAACTTTGAGTCAAGTCAGCCTAACATCAGTGTTCAAGAAGTAGTCAACTGTTCCCATCAGTGATATTTTTTTTGGCCCTAAAGTTTAATATATGCGATGCGTATCGGCTATACATTCTTAGGTAATGCGCGCGCGCTGATTGGTCGAAAACTTTGCTTTATTAGTGAACGGAGCATAGTGCCGACGCCATCTGCGTGCGCGAAGTGCWGATAGATCCTGTGACCGTCTTTCTTTTTGCGTAAAAAAAATTAATTCAATATCAAAATAAATTAGTAACTATATAATAAAACGAATAAGACAGCTTTTTTGTGCTCTGTTCAGTGATAAAGCACTTAGGATTCGCCGTAAGCACTCAAGAAGTGTGCTTCTTTCGTACTTACGTCACTTCTGCGCGCTGTATTACTGAACGGAGCACGGAAAAAGCTGTTTTATTTGTTATATATATATAAACAGAAAGGTTGTCATCAAAAGTGGCTTGTTGGTCACGTTGTACCACGTGACCAGGTCCTGCAAAGAGCTTATTCAAAAAACAAGGTTCAAAGCAACAAGTGTTAATAAAAGGTTTCAGCAAGGTTTTCTTCGCACRCAACCTCAAGGGCATGACAAAGCCACTCTTGTCTTACCACCCCCGAGGGGGAGGAGAGGCGGGTGCCTGTTTTTGCGATACTAGAGGCAGGGCTCGTGGTCAGGACCTATCTAGACCTGAAAATTTGAATTGTAACATTAGGTTTAATGCGTTTTACCCAACCAAACTTTATAACTGATTCATTATTTGTTTCTTTATAAATTCAAGCTCAATTTATGTTTATTATATGCTAACGAGCAAAAACTGTCAATCATCGATTGCCCCTCCCCACCCCCATCCGATGTAACACCATGGCTCCTCCAGCTCCCTCCCTAGATACTTTTTCTTCCACGGACACCAATATAGAAACTATTTGCTGCTGTAGTTTAGTTCTTAGATTTCGAAATAACGTCTGGCAAACGTCCACCATCAATGGCTAATTGTATACACAACTTGGCCACCCAATTTTTCCTCCATTGCTCTCTYACCCCGGGAAAATTGCTTTAATGACAACATGTTGTGACTTTTTGATAATTTGTTATATATATGTTGTAATGTGGTGTTAYTAACTTGTATTTTCATTATATAAACAGTCGAGAACATTTTTAAACGTTCAAACAAGTGTTATCTCAGACCCCTTAGGCAAAGTCTAGAGTCCTTTACTGATCTATTTATCCGTCTGGRATGCTGTGGTCTTCTCGACAAATTCTGATCCCTTTTGATTAGAATATAATTAGATTTTAACAAACTTCGAATTTTTTGTTGGTAAGAAATTTTCCGTTAAATCAAACTTAACAGAAAAGTTGTTCAAGTCATGATACTTTCTATGCCCTAATTGCCATCAATTACCTGATAATATATGGAGATTGAAAATTTGCGGTTATTAATATAACATTCGATTCAATGTAACCTTGGTGTGTGCATCCGCTTTCTGYGTTACATTGTTTCGTAGTTAATTTTTAATTTCCAATTCTGGTGTACTATGGAAAAGTCAATAAATGTATTCTTTATTGTTTTACAAAAAAAGATGTACAGTGGCCGCAATAGGTAAAACATGTTGGTATATTAGGCCCAGTTGAAGCGTCGGATTTCATGTGTCGAATCAAATGCAAATGACCAAGACCTATTGTTTGAATGCACTTGTATTAAATTCGGCACATGTAAAGTTGGACGTTTAAACTGCACTTTAGCCTGGTTTTGGCTTCTAAAAGCTCGTTAGAATTTACCGCGATGACTCGAACTGCAATTTACTATACTGAAAATGCTGAATATGCAATATTCACAAAACAACCCTCTTTTATAATTGCTGTATAAATTTAAAAATTCAGTCAAAAGTATATATTCACTGGGAGAGGCTTCGCTTGTTTTGCTGTTCTTACCTGGGAATTCTTACCAGACGAGTTGAAATTAAAGGCATTAAAGAATAACCATCTTGTTTTTAGTCATAAAAAACATTTTGTGGTTTTATTTTAGCGCGAAATGATCTGTTTTGCGGTTTGAGATCAYTTAGTAAGGTTTCATAAAGTGATAACAGTTGGTCAAGAACAGGAATTTGATACTGTATGATATTTCAAAATCCGGTAAGAAATCTAACGCTGAGGTGGTCTGTGGGCTGAGAAAGAAGTCCACTATTTCAGAACTATACCTTCACCAACTTCATTAATGAAAAGAAAATAATTTCAGATTTAAAAATGCATAAATGCATAAAGAAAAAAAGAACGTGATTAATAAATATCAACGTGTGTGAAAAACTTCGAAGGAATTTTGAAAGCTGTTAAAACGCGGTAAACATGAAAGAAAAATGCAGTAAAGTGCTTGTTTTCCTTTTTCCAAATTGAAGCAAGAGGTCGATAAATAACATTGTCGTATCCAAATCCTTCTTAGCGAAAAATCGATTTTTCGTTACGAGAATGAATGCTCTAACATAGTCTATCAATTTAGTCAAATTTACTACCATTCCATCTATTTTAACTTAACGCCACTGCTATTACCTTTAGTACGATATCTTTCTTTAATGATAAGGTTCGAGTAGTTTTTAAGAAAGAATCAYACTTGAATATGACGGGAACTGAAATCTTAATTCCCAGAAATGTGGAATGTGAAATATAAAGCCCATTTTTCTTACCAGGGGATTTTTTTAGCCAAAGTGTCAATTTAACAAAATCAAATGATGATACCTASTAATTATATGCGCAGCTCGGCGGTTAGACCAAACGTACACTATAGCGCCACCTGTACTATACTAGTGTTTAAACACTACAAGAGGAATAAAGATTGCAAGACTGTTTTTTTATGTGTTATGTAACGAGTGAATATTTGAATAGGGTAGAAATCTTCTTGGGAACCAAGAGTGGCGTAGCGTTAATATACTTTGCGCGCCTTTCAACTATGCTGTCTAAGGTTCGATTCTTGGACTAGGCAATGCCGTCACATGTGAACAGAGTTTTGATGTCTCTTTCTCTCTACATTGATTTGAGAGATTTTTTCCCGTTTTTTCTAGCTTCGATATGTGAGTTTGCCTGCCCATGACTTAGAACAGCCCAGAGGTTGTTTCAGGGTTCGATCTGTGAGTTAGCCATGTCCTGACTTAGATCAGCCCAGAGGTTGTTTCAGGGTTCGATCTGTGAGTTAGCCGTGCCCTGACTTAGATCAGTCCAGAGGTTGTTTCAGGGTTCGATCTGTGAGTTAGCCGTGCCCTGACTTAGATCAGCCCAGAGGTTGTTTCAGGGTTCGATCTGTGAATCTGCCGTGTCCTGACTTTGATCAGCCCAGACGTTGTTTCAAAGCATAGATAAAGAGTTTTGAATCAGTGGCTGGTAAAACTTACAACGGCCTCAATATTTGAATTACCTTTTGAAGAAGTCGAATATAGGTTAAAATACAAGCTTTAACAGCGTTTCAAGGATCGTTTAAAAGGAGTTAACTGCGGCTTAAAAGTAAAATATCTGGACCAGGTTTCATCTATGCGCTTACTTTTATCACGCAAGAATTTCTTATTTGGTGTACGCCGCTCAGTCTCACCAAATAAGAGTAAAACTATCTCTTTGTGAGCCAAAACCTATTGGATCAAAGTGTTGCAATAAAATAGTATTAAATAGGTTTGAGATTTGCACTCTAATTTCTTACCAAAAGCGAACTTTTAAATGCCTTTCGTGAAAGTTTAACAAATGGAAAATAAATGGCTAGTGSATGAGAATGTTACTTACCTCTCTTCTAGTCGTTTCTTGTCGCTTTAGCACGAGCTAGCTCCAGCAAAACAAGTGACAAAATGCCACCGCGAGCTACACCACAAAACGCTGTACCTCTGTGTAACTTTATACCCAGAAAAGAGTTTATATATAATATTCAAATTCACTCTAAATTGAATGTTTAAATACAATAGGCCCTTCGCAGTTAACGGTCACGTGTCTGTACTGGAATGCAAAATTTTTGTTTTCATTTTAAATTGGTGATTCTTTTTAGCTACTTGTAAAGAACTGAATGAAAACACGTGTATCCAGTGTGCTACGAAATGCAGTTTTATTACGATCTCTCGAAACAGGTTGTAGAAAGTTTGTTTGCAGTCCAGTAAATTTCACCCATGGGAATCAAAATGTTCATTCATTTGCTCTCAGTGAATTAATCAGCACGTGATTGCTTAGCTGCAAAGGGCCTATTATAATAGTCCCCTCCACAGCGCCCTGTACCATCTTGAAAGGTAGCCTTGAACGGTGAGCTTGCAATGATAGAGACATGTGAATGATTGTTCAAGGTGTTAAAAAAGGTCTCTATCATTGCAAGCTCACCGTTRGTCTCGCTTCGATGCAAAGGCACGGCTACCTTTCAAGGTGGCGCAGGGAACTGTGAAAGGGACTATTATCAGCCTACAACAACAAAGAAAATAGCGAAAGAAAGCGTAAAAATGTTGTGCAAAAAGCAAGAAGCTCACAGTGTTGCAAGATTTACTGCATGTACATGGTACAACATCAGTTTTTTTAAACATATCGAAAAAAGATAGGTTTTTGCACATGCTTCCCTTTATATGCAAATTGTATATGAAAGAAAAAGTATAAAAATCTGATTGATCTAGTTAATTTAAGGATGATAGAAAAACTAGTTCTTAAAGCTCTTTTAACGCGGGGAGTGGTTGCCCAATTCTCCAGAGCCAAGGGCTCATGTTTAATGCGCTCGAAGGTACGCCCTCTACCCCCTCTTACTATCAGTGCTCCTTTTTACGGGTATTTAAAGCTACACAGAACAGAGAGAAGTCAAAACAGACGTGGAGTTCCTGAGGATCGAGCTATGGACCTCTAGCTAGAAATACTGAAGGCTTCGAAAGTCATCTTCACAAACCGACACGAAATTTCTCATCTGAAACACAGGAAGACCACAAGTGCAAGATTAGTGTTGCGGCTCGCCTCATGGCTCGCAGCAAAAACATCATTGTCTTACTCATGACTTATAAAAAGGTTATTGCTTGATTCAATTTGAAAACGATGAGAAATAAACTCAAATGCCTCCTATGATGTCACATCATTAACATATTGGAAGTGTAAACCTAGATGCATCACTCAAATCATGTTAAMATATTTTACCACTTAACTATTTACTTCAAGTAGAGTGAAAAAGTGCTGAAAATATTGATTTAGGTGTCATAGGCACTTAAGTTTATATTCAAAGTCAYGGAATTGGTCGCTGATCCTCCCATCTTAGCTAAACGGCTGACTAATTCTTTTGATAAGAGTTCTATACTCTCACAATGTAAATGGTAGCTCACGTAGCTCAGTGAAACAATGACTTGCCAGTTGAGGGACGACAACCGTATCCATGTTGTTTTGCACAAATGAACCTTAGACAGTGCGTGTCATGAAGACATTCAAATTTAAAATTCTTTGACAATTTAAATCTAATGAAACGGTGAAGCATCCTTTAATTATATGATTCGTGTCTCGCTCAGATTACAGATCGGCCCGGGTAAACACGTATCTACTGATTATTCAACATATTCAATGTGTAGTTCTAGAAAATATCCATACCTCCCTCCCCCACAGAGGAAATTTGTAAAAGAACCTCCCTACCCCCAGGAACTTCCAATTTTCTTCCATATACAATCTCTGTAATTTTGTTCTTTTTCTGACCCCATTGTGGAAGTTGGGAACTTCTGGAACCACGCAATATAGGCTTTCATTTGGCTCAGTTTWAAGGTAGCAAGGGTGAAGAAGCGATAAAATATTTCTCCTTTACCACTTTCGAGTCGGGTTGTGCACGGGTGTGATGCCGTAAATAGACTTCTGGTACAGAATGTGAATTCCTTTGTTTTTTAGTGAATGCGTGCATATAATTTCCCTTAACAGTCTTTTGTCATACAGTGATTTTCATAAACCCGCGAAATAAATATAAGCGTAATAATCATTAATACAAATTAATTACCCATTAGACTTTAAACAACGAAGTAATAAAATACAGTCAAGCTTTCACTGCAATACTTAGTTGTCTCACTAATAACCTCTATTACACATTAATATGCGTTAATAGAAGTTAATAGCTAAATTTTGTTTCACGGGTTTATGAAAATCACTCTATCGTGCTTCACTTGCTTTCTTGTGTTAGTGCCGGAGGGATACAAGATGTTCAGCATGCTTAGTTAGTATAGAAAATTAAACAAAAGGGATTTATTTAGTTGCACGAAATTCAAAATTAGTGGTAAAGAAAACTAGGTCTAATCAGATTTGTTTGATAAGTTTTTCTCTCTCCCTTGACACTAGATGATTTTTCTTACTAGATATTCAACAAATGTTTACATGTTGAACTGAAGCAATTAGTTAAACTTTCATTAATTCGAATTTGAAACGGTTCAGTTCTTTGTTATTCATAGGGCTTGATTTCCCATATTGTCTTGCTCACTACGAATAAAAAGGCTAGATACACCCTGGGATTTATCAGATACATACCTTGAATACTATGTTATAGTCTTTGAATGTGTAATGAAGTCAAGCGTTGGACTTGGACATTCTCTACTATAAACTCTTTATGAAGAAAAAATCTTTCAATAAAGGAAATTAGAACCTAGCAGGAATCGAATAACCCAAGACCTTTGGCTTACCTACATCATACTTTATACCCTAAACTGCATAGCTATCTCATGGACTTTGTTGAACAAAATATGTTATATCTGTTTTCATGAAGATCATTCCTCTTCTCAATCATATGCTGTTTTATTTTTAATAGCGATGAATTTTCAAATACACACATTTGAAAAATAAATCCATGATAATTAACCATCTCTTATGTACGAAAACCTTAAATTTATACGGCCCTAGGGCTTTATATGGTTTATTGCCTCCGTTCTCGTTACTTAACTCTAACTTRAGGACGTTCATGGGGAACATCTCCCATGGTCAGATTTKTTTWAAATTTTGCATGTAGAAATGAAATGAAACGAGGGGTGTGCCCGACTTTTTTTATTTTCATGATATTTTGCTTATWAAAACATTGGAATGACGTCGTTSAACAATACAAATCTCTTATGAAATTGCTGTATATTTATGCACTTATTTATTGTATCACAATTTGCTCTTTTAAGTAAAGCACGCAGTTGTRAATAATGAGGCTTGTGCTCCCAAGGAGAAATAAAAAAAAACAATTAGACATAAATTTAGACAACAAAACTAACAAAAAAGTTGCGGGCAAAAAGGCAGAACGTTATGCTCGTTTGTTGAAAAGACGGAGAGATTCGAAAACGAATAAGTAAAAACCCTTAACAAAACGGTTAACTAATTCTTTTAACTTTGACAATGTAAATGGTCACGTAGCTSAGTGAAATAATGACTTTCCAGTTGAGAGACAACAACCGTTGCTATGCTGCCTTGCACGAATGAACCTTAGACAGTGTTATTTCAAAATAACATATTTCTAAATGCCCTTTACCTCTTTACCATTCTAAAAAGACTTCACATTTTTTAAATTTTAAATAACCTAATGTGAAGACCATGAAGAGATGCACCAGGAAAGCGTTTCCCCTGGGACAACACCGTGATTCTTGCATTCCACATCCTACATTTAAAATTCAAAGTCAGTCACTGAATCAGTCATTGAGGACAGGGCAGARAAACGGTTTTTGGCCTTTCGCCATAAGGACAACTTTACATATTTAAGCTCAATATTTTGTAAACACGTTCTTTTGGAGCCAAATAGCAAAATATCRAATGCGACCAAAATTTATTRAATGCGTATTTGAGATATAAAGCCGTGTACTTTGGGAGAGGTGATATTTTGATCAGCACAAAAACTGACATTTTCGTGATTACTAATAAGTAGATTTATACTCTAATTCGACAAAATTTCGATCACAAGTTTCGAGCAGCAGTGACACAAATGAAASGCTTAAAAATTTGGAGTATTAAACTCAGTTAAATAAAAAAATCGTGAAAGTAGCGGGCTTGTCAATTTTCTGCCCTGTCGTCATTGAGCATGTCAAAGGGCGGTCACACGGTTAGTTAATCTATAAAATAGCACTACCCGGAGAGTTGCTCAGTCGCGTCTTCGCGATCGAATCTAGTGAGAAGCAAGTTCAAGAAATCAGGTAATTTGAGTAGTGTATTCTCTGGGTTGTCTCCGCAATACCTAACACGCGTACCCTAAATTCTAATTCAATCTCTGAGTTACCCATGCTCCGACTTTGATCAGACCAGAGATTGTTTCAGGGTTCTATCTGTGAGTTGCTGTGCCCTGACTTAGATCAGCCCAGAGGTTGTTTCAGGGCTTGATCTGTGAGTTAGCCATACCCTGACTTAGATCAACCCAGAGGTTGCTTCAGGGTTCAATCTGTGAGTTAGGTCAGTTAGCCATGCCCTGACTTAGATCAGCCCAGAGGATGTTTCAGGGTTTGATCTGTGAGTTAGCCATGCCCTGACTTAGATCAGCCCAGAGGATGTTTCAGGGTTTGATCTGTGAGTTGCCGTGCCCTGACTTTGATCAACCCATAGGCTTTTTAGAGGTTGCCTTTTTGAGCACTATTTTTTGTTATGTTCTAAAAGCGATTTTCATAACAACAATACTGTAGGTCTAAGAACAATATTCGTAAATTTTCCGCTAACAGAAAGTGGAGGCACTGGTCTATTATTAATTTTTGCTCAAACTTATGGAACCATTTTTTAGCAATGATATGCCTCCACACTAGCTTAATTAAGCATCAAGTTTTAAGAGCTAATCTTGAATATTAATTAATTCCTCTTCTTTATATTATCTAATTAGCATTTTTTAAATAGTATTTATACTCTTTCTATCATTATTATTTAACCTTTCAACATTTATAKATTGTTATAAGTTATAGGCTTATGTAATTTTTCTAGGAGGGAAAAAACTTGTAAACCACTTTATTGCGGATACTGATATCCTCAATTAAGACTAGCATAACTTAGATTGTTTCAGRGTTCGATCTGTGATCCGTGTCCTGAATTAGATCAGCCCAGTATATGTTCCAGGGTTTGATCTGTGAGTTAACCACGCYCTGACAAGCAAAAMGGTTGCTTCAGTGTATCGATAAAATTTGAAGGTTTCTTTAAAGGCTTTATAGCTTCGTTTACGTTCTTTTTTGACGACAAAAATACGTGGGGAGTTTCGAGGCAATGAAGCGGTGACGCATCAAGTCTCGTGCAGACTGATGATTGACACTTATCACGCTTGTGTGACATTATAAGATATTTTGATTTATCGGAGAAAAGGAGTTTACTTTCAAATTTGTCACATCGATAATAGTAAAATTGCGAAGTTTCGTAATGATTGCTATTTTAATGCCGAAGATATAAATTTTGAAAACTAAGAATTTTAGTGGCCACTTTTGCAAAGAAGTGTATGTGTCTACTCTGATAACAAGGCTGTTAACGCATGCAATAGACTGGACAACGAACATCAGAAATGAAAAGAGCACCTTGATATATTAGTAAGAGGGCGAAGTTTCAGCTCAAAATGTTGCCTATAGGAGAAATTTTAACGAATAAAAAGAATACAATATCTTATGGGGATTTGTATGGGAGATACCTTGGTCCCAGAGGCTCGACGATTTTTCTCCCGGCCACGTATATTTTGAGCCGCGAAGCGGTGATCGAGCTGCGAAGCAGCGAGGCCTCGTCGGAGCCTCTGGTAGGAACCGCATAGTTGATTGATCAGGCCGCACCAATAGAATTACAGATTGCTCAAAATTGTTCTGGTTCACTGATTGGCTGATTTGAAGTCCAGTTTGTGATTGGCTAAATTATTTGTTATGAAGGGTAGGGAGGTACAAGTATACATTGCTCATTATCTTATGTCAGTTTGTTTGTAATGTCAAGAGATTTCAAGGTGTTATTTTATAGTTCTAGCTACAGTGAACATTTCTCGATGCCACATTGTATATCCGAAGCGCTATTCGACGAAATATTGTCAACAACGCTTGAAAAACGGTTTGAGAACATTGAAACGTTAYCGGAAGAGCAAAAGACAAGGAGAACAAAGGTCATTGACGATACTAACTGAACAGGGTACAGAGGTTAGCTTGATAATTTCACGCAATAACCATTGAAAGCCGATTTTAAAATCAATATCCATTATAGAGTTGGTGAGTGTGTGTAGTCATTTATACGAGTTTCTCCCTTTGACTACCGATAAAATACAATAAAAAATACAATAAAAAATACAATAAGTATCTACAAGGCCTAGACAACTAATCAGTAACACAACGGGCGTCGATCACATCAATATCACGACATATTGACAGAAATTTGACAGAGCATTTGGTCTTTAACTTTGTAACTTCGTAACTCTGTAACTTCGTAACTTTGTAACTTGTAACTTCGTAATTTGTAACGCCAAAAAAAAAAAAAGAAGCCAAAAAATTCAGAAGGTCCGTCATGAACGTGAACCTCGGCATCGAGAACAACAGCTAGTCGTTTCACAAGATTTTCGTTGCGAGACTTTGGGCCAAAGAGGTGAATTCTTGGTCTTCCAGACGTAATACTACATTTGCAARGTCRACAGGACTTTGAAGGATGTGAGATTGCGCTTTTCAATGGAGTATTTTTGTTTGAATTTCGTTCACAATTGGTTGCGATTCGTGTTGCTGAATGTAAACACCGGACTGTCACTTTGACATATTTGGACACGTGTACATGACAAAAGCACTTAGGTGGACTCCGCAAAGTTATTTTRGTCAACTACAACCTCCCCTCCCTAAATACCAAAAGCGCCACGGGGATCTCTYGTGTGATTGGTTAGTTCTAAATGATTGATTGACACTTTGATTTAGCATGGAAATGAGGTTGTATGCGGTTCCTACCAGAGGCTCCGACGAGGTCTCGCTGCTTCGCAGCTCGCTCACCGCTTCGCGGCTCAAAATATACGTGGCCGGGAGAAAAATCGTCGAGCCTCTGGGACCAGGGTATATGGGAGATGACAATATCAATGAAAACAAGACGCTCCTGGATCGTGCACTGGGCTGCCCAATGTGCTGGTATGATGGAGCTTATTTAACACCTAATCTTACTTATGTACCGTTTTTTGGGAGGAKCTGGTACTTTGGAACATTTTAGGTGTATTTTTGTTTTTGTTTTAGTGGCGTCTGACGAAATAAATATATTTATTACATGGCCAAATACGCGACATAAATTCGTTTAGAAATATGTTTAAATGGTTATTTGCTTTTCGCTAACCGTTCTGAAGTTCTCGATCTCTCCATTATTGATTATATTCTTCAAATATTGTTTTTTTCAAATATCTAAACCAGTGAAGTGGAAACGTGAAACTCGGTTAGTAAAAGAATTCAATACTTAGCGAAAAGTATTTTCGGCCAAAGTTACCACCTCTATTACCGCGTAGTATTTAACGATATATTTATGTATATGCCTTCAAGATTAACTAGAGACTGAAAGCCGTATTTTCCTTTAAGCTCTACTAACCCACGATTGAAGCCAGAATACTGCCGACTGGGTAGCTGTATTAATACTAATAAATTTCTGATCTACAATCCTAGAAATATTCTTTTACTGCTCAATTATATTACTTCTAAGCCCGGAATTACATCCTCAGCTGCTAAGCCAATCTATGAGCCCAGAATCTATGAAYGTCATTCAAATCCATATATGGGTACTCTAGCGCAAGAATGCACATTTCGCGAGAAGGAAGGTACAAAAAAAAAAAAAAGGCATTTTACGACTGGGCAACCACAGGCAACCCAGTAACAAGGAGCTACAAGGTTTGCTTGTGTCTAGGAAGGATAACAATGTCTTCGATGAAATTAACTGAATCATTGAATTAACAGCGATATCGTTAACAATCATGTCCAACCTCATCCTGCTAGCATTTCAATTTTTTAATATTTTAAGGTGCGTTTATCATTTTTATGTGTCTAGTTAGAGTTTCGATAGAAACCTAGAAGGAGTTAATCATAACAATTCGACATTTTTATAGATGGACAAAGCATTAAGCAATAGAAAACGAACTTGACATTCAAACTTACCGAACATTAAAGAGGAGTCCGGACCTCTGATATAGAGATCAGTTTCTTTTTTTTTTTCCCTGACAGAGAAATGTGGTTCAAGTGGGGATGCGCAGTGTTTCTTGTGGTGGGTATCCATCTATCAGTAACAGAAGCAGCAGCTCGTAGGAGTAAGCAATGCTCTTATTCTGGATACGCGCCCGGTGGCCCTGTCCCAAAAATATCGAGCATAACAGCAAAGAAACCTGAACAATTTGAAGAATCTGTTCTGGAGAAGGCGCTTGAAATTGGCGAAACGGGAGGAGAGGTCGTTGAAAAAATTCTTGAGTTGCACAAGGTATCCCCACAGCTTGCATTGACGTTTGGAGCTATATCGATCGCTTTAGGAATGGCACAGAATGAACCATCCCCTCAGGATATCTTGGACAGAGCTCACGAATCCGTCCAATTTCTTGCGGATGACGTCAATGAACGATTGAATCAACTACAAGATTACGCCGATGTCAAAGACTTGCAGCTGGAAAGAAGAGTGATGACCAGAAATTACAAGGAACTTTTCGACCAGTGGCAGGAATGTCTGACGTATCAAACAAAAAGAGAAGCTGACGCCTGCCAAGGTCGTGTCGAGAGAGCCGTCAAAAGCGCCCGGTATCAGTTCCAGCCATTGCAGTCGATGTTTGAACGAAAGGATGACAAAGGAAAGATATTGTACGACCCGAATTTCTACTATAGATACGTGGGTACTTGGCAATGGATGGAAAAACATAAAGGAAAAAACGTTTTTTACCCCAGCTATGACGAAGTTAAACGACTGGAGATCGGGCTCATCCCATTCCGAAATTACGTCACTCTCCATCTCCTTGTCCTCGAGACACTGATTAGGACACAGGAAGCTATGGGAAACGAAGGATGTAATGACTTAAAATTCTATCTGCAAAGAATGGTTGAGAGGTCTGATTACTACATTGGTTATGTCAAGTGGGCCTACGAATGGATCTATATTCGACAGTACGAAGAAAATATGTTTTTTGGAATACCTGGAAGAGGTGGGGGACGTTCTGCATCCCAACGTGCCGAAGGATTCCTTGGTACTGAKAAATGTTCAGGAAGAACGTGCACCGTGGAATGTTCCCAGATAATAAAAGACAACGTCTGTACTTTTAGAAATGGAAGCCCAAAGGATGTTGAAGCAGAAACGAAAAATATCTGTGAGACAYATTTAGCCCAAGTTAAGGAGCAGCTCAGTAAATTCTGGAAGGAGCAAATCTTAGATTTGACAAAGATGTGGGAAAAGTACGGTCAGCAAGCCAAGAATAAATTGGCTTCAATCACATGTGAGTAGACAACAGCTTGTTACAGCGTTTAGTTGTCATAAATACGTATACGCTAAATAGAATAATAGCCAGTATTTTAAAGGGGCACTTGGATGAAAACACCCAAATTTTTGAGTCCAAATAATTGAAGTATTTGAGGATAATATGAATCAATTATGACTTTGAAAACCAGATTAGTAAAAATTTTAGCCTGGGAGCTACTTGCAGTTGGGAGAGAAATTTTGGATTAAAAGCGAAAAGAACAATAGGGTTGAGTAAATGCCGTCATTTACTCACAATTTAGATGCTGAATGAAATTGATAATTTTTACCCGCCACTTTTGACTGTGAAGAAAATATGTTGCTTGGCTACTATTGGGGCCATATAGATAAGYTTAACCAAGTTTCAAGTCATTCCAATTTTCATCTTTTTTTCATCCAAGTGCCCCTTTAAAGAGGGTAAAGACGATACAAGGACAAGCTGGCTTCAATCACATGGGAGTAGACAATAGCCTGTTACAGCCTTTAGGCCGGATATTTGGTCATATCGCCCCATGTGAGCGAATCCGGACTTATGGTGGATTCCAGATTCCAAGTGCTGGATTCCGGATTCCAAAGCCTAAAATTTTGTGGATCTCGGATTCCGGATTCCGGATTCCGGATTCCCTTACATGGGACGAGTCATAAATACTCAGAATAGAATAATAGCTACTATTTTAACGAGGGTACAGAAGTAATAACCAGGAAGAGTTAATGAGGATCTAGAATTGTTGATTTCAACAATCAGGAAAAGCGGAGGACCTGGCAGAAACCCTCGTAGCATTGGAGAGGACTATACATCAAACGAAATCAAATCATCTGGCACCTATTTAAAAAAACGTTGTCGGTCTGAGCCTAAAAAGAATTTTTGCGCTTTTATGTTTTCTGGCTAAAATACGAACAATCCTATTTCTAACATAAAGGTCATGCTTCATAATTCAATCTAAAAGGAAGCAACATTGTTCGGCTTTCAATATCTTACATGTTTTGCAGTGTGTTACATGGTCTCAGATTTAAGATTTTCTAATCTCCGACCGAGAATTTTTTTTAATGGTGTATTCGTTTTTGCGTTTTCGGTTTGTAGGCGAACACGTTTACGATAAATTTAATTGAGAATCAATCAGCCAATCACAATAATATTTGCGTCAAATGAACCAATCAATCAACCAATTGGCTACTCTTAGGGCACTGATTTATTTAAGATAGACGGTGATAGTATTGAGGATGATGTTGATGATGATGATGAACTAGGGGGGAGCACAGGGTGCACGTGCACCCCCCTCCCCTCCCCATAAAAGCATAAAGTCCGCTCATCCATCTCCTTTTTTTTTTTTTTCTTTTTTGTTCTGCTTTCTTAAA